GATGCATGCATACATGCATGCCGTAGTGGAGAATTTGCATGCCAGCTTGTCAGCCTAGCACAAAATAAAAGTGTTCCCTTTTGCCCACATACCCTCTTCTGTGGTCTGAATTGTTATTTTTCCTTTATTTTTGCCAGTTTCTTAAAAAGCAGAGAAGACCTATTTGCACACATGTAGGTTAACAAGCACTCTAGCCTCAGCACAGGGTCCCTTTGCAGCCTGAGCAGCATCCTTTTTTTTCCCAGTTGGAGGAAAAATGCTCCCCCTACCTTTCCTCTCACATTCAGGAGAGTTCACTCACTTCTCCTAGGAAACTTTCTGCATGCTATCTCTTAAGGTTAGGACCTGCCCTATCAGCCATGCTCTCTGTCATCTAAGTGAGTGACTCCATCCCTTGATCTCCTCCTTTATGGGTTATGTCAGCCAGCTGGCTGTGGTGGGATAGCTGGAGTGATCACCCTGGCTGGCAGGATCATTGCTGCTGGAGTTGTTGTACTGTACCAGTGACAACGGGCTAAAAAAGGAGACAGGTCTTACACACACCAACTTGTACTCCTTTCCTTCTGTAGTGCTGCTGGATGATGCCTCTTATTCTCCTGGAATACTTCTCCTTCTGGAAGAACAGAAATGAGGTTTTGTTGGTGCACAGGGTTGGCAAGCAGCAAGTGGCATGGATCTTTCCTGCAGCATGGCAGCTAACCTGCTTTTTTCACATATATGATTATGAAATTTTATTTATTTATTTATTTGTTACATTTATAGCCCGCCCATCTAGTCGTACCGACTACATGAAATAGATGTACTGTATATTTAAGTGTTTCATATAGCAGTTTGGATAAGGTGCCACTCTTTGGAGTCTCCTTTCCTGAAGGATTTATCTTTATCTGAGATGCCTCAGTTCTCTGTATGTGAAGGCATTATGGATGCAGAAAGGGGAATGAAAGTAGGGAGAAGAGTTGCACTACCACAAAACACTTATCTGATGCAATGCTACAGGACCTTTAAATATTTTTGGAAGAGAATCATGAGATGATCCCTGGAAGAGGGTGTTCCTGCTATATTACCACACTATGTGCCACTGAAGACATCAATGTCAGTTCATCCACCACTAGCTCTTTCTATTGATATACAAACTCATGCATGCTAGAAAGCAAAACAAAGCAATATAAGCGGAATTGCTACCCCCCCATAAGCCCTTGCAGGATGAAAAAAAAAATGCAACAGACATCAGCGGAAAAAGACCAGGTATCCCTATAATTAACTATACATTGTGTAGTCAGTGAAAACTGCTTCAGAATTAAGAATGATAACTGCAGCATAGCAGCAGGACAAATTGCGTTATTGTCATACCTGGAAACATCTTGAGGCAGAAGGAAATCTTACGCTAAAAACAATCTAATAAAGTGAACTAGGGCAAAGTTAGAAGGAAAGTTGTTTTTGAAACTGACTTTGCCCACCATATGCTGTTTAAATCTGTCACCAGAGAGACATACGAAAGTTACTATAGGTTGAAAATAACATTTGGAAAGCATGGATAAAATCATAACATCCAATGTTTCTGTTACTTTAGATTATAGACAAGAGTAAAAGAGACCCCACAGAAGAAATAGAAATCCTGCTACGATATGGACAGCATCCAAATATTATTACTCTCAAAGATGTGAGTAGATTCTTTAACCTATTTTTGTAGTAATTCTGTTGTAAATATCAGCATGTGTTTGGTATCTTCCCTGCTTAACTCCTTCTCAGAATTCTACAAATCTGTTTCCCCAACATAATCACTCCTTTTGTCTAACACATATTTTCCCTCACCAATTTTAACGAATTACAGAAAACATAAGGTTGTAAGAGGGTTATCTTTGTGTTTATGGTCAGCTTTTGTAGAAGACAGTACAGTATAGTCTATTCCTGTTGCCTGCCAAAAACCCACACAAATATTGAAAGACATTGTCTTCTACTACTCTTTCTTTATCTGACAATCACATACATACAATGAAATATAGTACAGTACATTTACTGAATTATTTGTCTGATAATAGTATGACCTTGTTTTAGATATGGCATTCAATTTATAAACTCTCAATTTTAACTTAATGTCTATAAATTCTATTAGTACCTACAGGTTTTAATTCTTCTATTCCTGTTGCCTGCCAAAACCCCACACAAATATTGAAAGACATTGTCTTCTACTACTCTTTCTTTATCTGACAATCACATACATACAATGAAATATAGTACAGTACATTTACTGAATTATTTGTCTGATAATAGTATGACCTTGTTTTAGATATGGCATTCAATTTATAAACTCTCAATTTTAACTTAATGTCTATAAATTCTATTAGTACCTACAGGTTTTAATTCTACAACTGAACTTCATTATGGGTTCTTGAACATTTTCATTCAGATGTTGATAGATATTTTTAAGGGCACATTTTGGGTTATTTTGTATGTTACCTTGTGAAAGAAGTAAAGTGAGTATGTAAGTAAGTAATTGTATGTGTATTCAAACATTCTGCTCTGCAGCTAACAGCTACTCTCTCGTCATGGAGACTTCCATATTTTTGTGATTTTTACACTTGAGATTCTAGTAGATTAGTTCTTCTGGTCAGGACAGCCTGGATGTTTCATTTCATGTAATGAGTTTAATGGAAACTGTATATTAACGGTGGAAATCCTGATGTAAGTCATGATGATGCCAGCAGTAGAAAGCAGATCACTACTGATGAAAGGTAATATTAGGGTGTATACAACTCGTACATAGTATGACAAAGTTGCATGTACCCTAAAATATCCAAAGGAAGCCTTTAATCACCAGTGATTTGCCACTGCTGCTGATGTCTTCACTGTTGTATGTAATACAGTATTTTCATTTTCAAAAGTAAAGTCTAAAATCTCTGATATTACCCATTTGCTAGTGTTGATATGACAGAATAGCTAAAAGAGACATTGTTTTTCAGGTGTATGATGATGGAAAATATGTATATCTGGTAACAGAGCTTATGAAAGGAGGAGAGCTGTTGGACAAAATCCTTAGACAAAAGTTTTTTTCTGAAAGAGAAGCCAGTGCTGTCCTGTTGACAATAACAAAAACTGTTGAATACCTTCATGCACAAGGAGTAAGTCTGTCTCTTGTTTTTAAATACAATATTTGAGTTAATGCATTGCTCTGAAATTATGGGCAGAATCCTGTTGGTGTGAACTTACATGATTTAAATTAGATTCAGCACCAGAAATAAACTAAGCTAATTGAAAGCTTTCTATATCTCCTTTCTGGTTCCAGGATTTCTTAGGGTTCTCTTTTGTCTGAGGAAGCCTTGGGACAGGCAGGAGAAGCCTTTCTTTCTTTCTTTCTTTCTTTCTTTCTTTCTTTCTTTCTTTCTTTCTTTCTTTCTTTCTTTCTTTCTTTCTTTCTTTCTTTCTTTCTTTCTTTCTTTCTTTTTCTTTCTTTTTCTTTCTGTCTGTCTGTCTGTCTGTCTGTCTGTCTGTTGATAAATTGAAGATCAATAAGTCACTGGGTCCAGATAGCAATCCACCCAAGGGTTGTTAAGGAACTGAATTGCTGATGTCTTCACTAAAATATACAACTTGTCCCTGGAGGAAAGCACATGTCACACCAACCTTTAAAAAGGAAAGGAGGGGGAACCTGGGAAACTACAGGCCAGTTAGCCTAACGTCTGTTCCAGGGAAGATGGTGGAAAGCCTCATCCAAGATAAAATCTTGAAACACATAGAAGAACAAGCTTTGCTGAGAGAAAATCAGCATGGCTTATGTAAGGGTAAGTCTTGCCTCACAAACCTTTTAGAATTCTTTGAAAAGGTTGAAGGCACGTGGTAGTTGGCGAACCAGTGGATATTGTCTATCTGGATTTTCAGAAGGCTTTTGACACAGGCCCCCACCAAAGGCTGCTGAGAAAACTCCATAGAGGATAAGAGGGCAGAGGTCCTCTTAGGGATTGAGAATTGGTTGAGAACCAGAAAAAGAGAGTAGGTGTCAATGGGCAATTTTCAGAATGGAGAGAGGTAAAGAGCGGTGTGCCCTAGGGATCTGTCCTGGGTCCGTTGCTTTTCTTTTCTTTTTCTTCTTCATATGAACACGATTTTTATTTAAATTTTAAGAAGGGTGTTCTCAAAACAGCAGTGGAATCCTGTGCTTTTCAGTCAGGATTCATAAATAACCTGGAGACAGGGAGAAGCAGTGAGATGGCCAAGTTTGCAGATGACATGAAAATTTTCCGGGTGGTGAAGACCAGAAGGGATTCTGAAGAGCTCCAGAAGGATCTCTCCAAATTGGGAGAATGGGCAGCAAGATGGCAAATGCGCTTTGATATAAGGAAATGTAAAGTAATGCACATTGGGGCAAAAAAAAGAAAAACTATCAGCTGATGAGTTCTGAGCTGTCCATGATGGATCAGGAAAAAGATCTTGGTATGCTGGTGGACAGCTCGATGAAAGTGTCAACCCAGTGTGCGGTGGCAGTGAAGAAAGCCAATTCCATGCTTGGTATCATTAAAAAGGGGGTTGAAAATTAAACAGCCAACATTATACAGTAATGCCATTGTGCAAAATGATAGTACAATGATACCTGGAGTATTGCGTACAGTTTTGGTCACCCCACCTCAAAAAAGACATTGTTGAACTGGAAAAAGTGCAGAAGAGAGCAACTAAAATGATAACTGGGCTGGGGCACCTCCTTTATGAAGAAAGGCTACAGTGTTTGGGGCTCTTTAGTCTAGAAAAAAGGTGCCTGAGGCAGACATGATTGAGACATATTAAAATTATGCAGGGGATGGATAAAGGGAAGCTCTTTTCCCTCTCACGCAATACCAGAACCAGGGGACATCCACTCAAATTGAGTGTTGGGAGAGTGAGAACAGACAAAAAGAAATATTTCTTTACCCAGCGTGTTGTTAGTTGTGGAACTCCTTGCTTGCTTTCAAATATTTTTACTCCGACTTTCTCCTTAAAGAACTCAACACAGAATTGACAAAAATAGGATTCCTGCCAGTGGTCCTGATCTATTAAAAGCCCGATGACCTGTCCTGAGGTTTCCAAAAGATTCTTCTAGGCAAAAGGGAGCTCTAGAGAGCCTTAGCACCTGGAGAAGGGGAAATAGAAAGCTTTTGATTCATTTGCATTAAATATTACTGCCATGGGATGATGAAGCCATTAGTTTGTGCCAGGTAACTTTACACAAATAAGATTTTGGCTCTTATTTTATATTTTTCATAAATGGCTGGAATTTAAACAAAAATTCTCCACTGTTTTAAATGAAATCACAGGTTGAAACTATACTTTTGCAATAAGCCTGGAAAGATGCTGCAAGTTAGCTGCAGACAGGCATGATCCCACTTATATTACATACCCAAATTATAGTGCTATTTTCTGTTTTAATCTGGCATAATTAGACACACAGTGGGAGATACTGTGGTGTGGGTTGACATGTTTACTTGTCACCATGAGCATGTTGGAGGCTGGGCATAATGTGATATGAAGGAAATGTTTTGCCATGCTCCCACTACCCTTCCACAGTCATGAATCTTTGGATGTGTGATTTAAAAAAAAAAAAGCAATCAGTACTTTGCGTTTGAAGAGACAGTGATGGAGACAGACATAGCAAGTGGTCAGGACAGGAGCAATAGGGAGGCCAACGGGTGGGCAGTCAACTGTTTGGAGGAAAAAGGGGTGGTTATTTGTCACCAAAAATTGTGATGTATTCATTGAAAAATGCAGAAGGGGGTCAGATTAGGCACAATTTCTAGAAAAAATGCTGTAGATTTGATTAGGTTTTTCTGGAGTGTGTTGTTTTGGCCACAGTCATGTTTGTTTTTGTTTAATCTTTTAGGTAGTACACAGAGACTTGAAGCCTAGCAATATTCTTTATGTTGATGAATCAGGCAATCCCGAATCAATACGAATTTGTGATTTTGGCTTTGCAAAGCAGCTGAGAGCAGAAAATGGTCTTTTAATGACCCCTTGTTACACAGCAAATTTTGTTGCTCCTGAGGTAAATATTGAATTATTGTTTGTATGGAGGAGAGAACATGTAATCCTGTGATTCTTTAACCCTGGTTACCATTGCATGTATCTGAATCCTCAGTTATGGTAAGGGTTAGGATTCCCATAAGTTGGACTGGAAAACTACAATATGCCATACAACTTGCTATCTGAGCTCAAAGCAGAACACAAAAGTTTTCCTGTCCCTTCCCTTTAAGAATGTGGAGACAGTTATCAGGCACAAAGTGATTGGACAAGTAATGTTCTCCTCTGTTCTTGTGTGTTGTGAGGTGAAAAAACAACTGTCTTCTAAAGTTGATTAGTTTATCTAGGTTCTTCCACTACCCTTCACATTCTTTTTTTCTAAGCTCTGCACTGATTATGTTTTCCAGGGCTACACGTTATTTTACTTGAATGAAATTGTCTCTGAAGCTTTGGTAGCTGCAATATTTTTAAAAAATATTACAGATGTATTGCACAGAACCATAACAGAGATGAAAAATAATGACCTGCATTTACAGATGTGAAAATAATTCATTAATGTCTAGATAGTTTTTCCTTTATATTTGTTTTTTCGTAATGTCTTCTAAAAAGTATGAGCAAAGATTCAGTCCCTTTTTGATCTGTGTACAAAATAAAATCATGCCACATATTATAAAAATCAAATAGTTTAGGTTTACCTTTGATTATTTAAGGTGATGTCTCAGTTCTTCAGCCAACACTTTAGCATACCAATAATTTAGTGTTAAAAGTTCTGCAGTTTTCCAATATTTTGCTATTACGGTGTGAGCTGCCATAATCATAAGGTAAAGGTTCCCCTTGACATTTTTAGTCCAGTCGTATCCAATTGTAGGGGGCAATGCTCATCCCGTTTTCAAGCTGTAGAGCCAGCACTTGTCCAAAGACAGTTTCCGTTGCCACGTGGCCAGAGTGACTAGGGAACGCAGTTTTACCTTCCCACCGAAGTGGTATCTATTTTTCTACTCGCATATGCATGCTTTCAAACTGCTAGGTTGTCGAGGAGCTGGGACAAAGCGACGGGAGCTCACTCCGTTGCGTGGATTCGATCTTGTGACTGCTGGTCTTCTGACCCTGCAGCAGAGGCTTCTGCGGTTTAGCCCACAGCGCAACCACGTCCCTACATCATCATAAATACTATTACATCTTCAAATGTCACTCTTTTGATTTGTTCCCCCTCCACCCCCAATTATTAATAATGCTAATACTACTGTTGCATGAATAGTCTGATGTGTTAATATTAGCCATTTCTGTAAACACGTTTTCCTGGAACTGTTGACACTACCAGAGTTGACCATCACATATGAATATATATACCTAGCTATGGTTTTCCATTGTTTTGAATTACTGTATTCATCTTTGCAGGATGCACCAGAATAATATACTATTGGTGTAATAAATTTTAAAGATTTTTTCCTAAGGGTGTCAATAAGATACATTTTGTTTATTTTTTGTTCAAATATAATCTTCCCCATACTGTTTTCAGTCCTTTTGATGTACCTGTATCTCAATTAAGTGTGAGTATATTTTAGAAAATAATCTTTTTATTTGTATGTTTCATTGTGCAGTGATTTTTAAATACTGTTTAATTGAAGAGGCAAAGATTACCTTAAGTGCTCACTTTGGTGAAATTACTTACATATTGGCTGAAATCCTGTTGCTTAGTGTAGTAAGGTGCACTAGAGTAGGTCCATTGAATCAGTGAGAATGAGTCAAATTCCTCTATGAATTTAATTGATTCAAATGGCCCTACTTTAGTTGTGATTTATTATGCTATGTAGGCTTATAGGTCCAAGATGGTGAAGTATAAGAAATTAAGACATGGCATGAGGGGAAGCCTGCCCAGATAGCCAGGTTTTAAGTCTGTTCTTGAAAACACCCAGAGAGGGAGCCAGGCAGATCTCCACTGGCAAGTTGTTCCAAACGTGAGGGGCCACTGCTGAGAAGGCTCTATCTATTCCTTGTCCTTTCCCTCTGAACCTCCCTCGACGTTAGGCCTCTCAGCTGCCCGGCCTGGCTCGAATGACTGACTCTGGCAGAACTGGGTGGGAAAAGATGCTCTGCCAGATATTGAGGTCCTAAACTGTTTACAATGCTTTAACAAGTGGAGGTAGTGATAATTACCCAAGTCTGATAAATAATTTGCTCTTTGTAGGTTTTAAAAAGACAAGGCTATGATGCTGCTTGTGACATATGGAGCCTTGGCGTTCTTCTTTATACAATGCTTACTGGGTACGTTTGTAGGTACTTATTTATTTTTTAAACAGAAAACAAATACAAAAAATAGTGCTTACTATACACTAAATTCTGCTGTGCACCCCATACCCATGGGACCCCATTGAATAATATTTTTATTATAAACATCCTTTCCAAAATTGTATAGATTGTTGTTTAGAGGCTTTCCCTTTTCCTTTCACTAATACAAATTCAATAAATCTGTTTGTAGGTACTAAGCTAGAAATTCTTGGTTTTTTAAAATAAAACTGGATTAATTGTCCTTGCATTTTCTTTTCCCGTCAGAGCTAGCAGCAGCAAGTATGCCTTAGGAGTATTGCCCTGTTTGTGTACTGTGTCCTATATCCTGTTAAGGTCTGCTCATGTCCTAGGCCCTTCCGTTCTCCTCTGCAGCTGCACTTCTCTTTCCAGCACTTTACACATCCCAGTCATTCACATACCTAATGAAGCCCACATATCTGAGACATAGATTTCCTTTTTATTTAGGTTCAGCAGCTGGGCTCCCTGGTAGCTTTCTCATATTACTTACCGATGGGAATAGCATGGAAAGTCTTTTTTAAATCTCCCTGTGTAATAATCTTATAAATTTTATTCAGCCAACTATTAGTAGTGTGATACAGGTAATTCACAGACTGGCCTTTGGTCTTTACTTTTCTGGGACAATGGTAGGGTAGGCATAGAGATGAACAGTGACAACATGTAACACATTCTCACTTGAAACATCCGTTTAGACACATAATGAACATCCCCCTCAGTTGTTGCAGTGTGTCATCTCCTCACTTGTCATGGCTTGCCATGCTGTTAATATTGGAAACCCCAGAAACATGGAAGAGCTTGATCCATTGAACAATGGAAGAGTTTTAGGCATAGACTTCTGTCTACTGTTGTTACATTGATGTCTTTACTGGCAAATAGAGTATCTCTAGGTTCTATATTAATTGGTATGTTAAACATGTTACAGTCATAGTATCGGTCTTCTGGATGAATGCATCTGTTTTCCAATTTTTAAAGAGATTGTTTCTGGAATGAAAACGAAAATGGTGTAAAAGAATGGTATACTGATTATCTCTGAATAATGTATAGACTTCTCACTTTGTCCTAATATTTGCGAACTACATGACAAATTGTGTATATATTATTAATTAGTGCTAGGGAATAGAGTGGCTATATCTAACTTTCACAAAAGTACACTGCATGTTACATGCATCAATATTGCTAAATAAAATACATTTTATTTTGTTTCTTAATTGTGTAAAATGTGGAATCAGGAAGCTACGTTCTAATAAGCATATTTTCATGTAATCTGTTATGTACTACAGTATTAGATATTTTTAATACTTATATGAAGTAGTATTCTAGTGTTATTTTCACCTGTACTAGCTGAAACTCAGTAAGGCATTTTAAAATAATGCTTCCAATAATTGTGTTCCTGTTAGCTATACACCTTTTGCAAATGGCCCTGATGATACTCCAGAAGAAATTTTGGCACGAATAGGTAGTGGGAAATTTTCTCTTAGTGGAGGATACTGGAATTCTGTTTCAGATACAGCAAAGGTAAGTACATACTGTTCCTCCTTTTGTTGGAAATAGTTAAAAGAATCATTATTTAATGCAGATGTGGGCAATTTGTCATCCCTAAAATGTAGTTGGACTACAATTCCTGTCTTCCCTTATCAGTAGCTATGCTTCCTAGCAGTGAAGGGAATTGCATTGCAGCTACAGTATATCAAAAGCAGGGCTCGGTGATTTCCAGAGGTCTGAGACCAACACAGCTATTGCTGGATATTGGAAGGCTATACAAACTCCCACAACGTCCCCCATTTTTTCTTACAAAAGTTGTTTTTTTAAGTAAAAGGTTGGCCTTGTGCCAAACAGATGCTTATAAAAAGCAAATTTGGGGACGTGAGGCCACTGGGGCCCTCAAAAAAAGGGCAGAAATGCCCTGCCTACTCACCTAGAGGACAGAATAGGACTTTGTGAGCCCAAATTTTTTTCCAAAATAAAAAGGGACGTATATGAGGGTTCTGGGAGCCATATTTAGGTCTCGAGGAGACACGCTATTGCCCATTCCTGATTCAGAGGTTCACCAGTTGTCCGCCCTGACTGATTAGGTCATTTAGAAATTTTAACCTAATGCCAAATTTAAAAAAACCCTGATGAATATTTATTAAAACAGCATTGCAATGAGGAAAATAAACAAGAGGCAGTTAAACAAACCATATATTTAAAAATACGTCTTAATATATAGTATGCGATGCTTAAATTATCACCATTTGGAAAAACATCTGATAGATTATCAGAGTGAGGGGCACTCAATCAGTGAGAAAATAGTTATCCTGAAATTCTGTTTGAAAATCACATGTGTTTAGGAAGAATATTTCTGCAATTAACTACAGTTCCAGTTTCACCCTTTTTTGTAGATTGTTGGAAGTATTGTGTATGAATGATTCTTGCTTCTAGAAGATAACCCAAGGGAAAAAAACATGAAATCATATACTTACAGAATCTTAAGTTCAGGATCCTCCTGTGAGGGCCTGTACTTCCAGAAAAGACAGGTTTTATTCTGACCAATATTAACATTTGGGCCTCTTTTGCTCCCCCCCCCAATACAAGGTAATGATTATTATGAGAATAAAGGAGTGTCCTTCAATCAGAAATTATAATTGGGGTCTTCCAAAACATGCCTGTATGTTGATGACGACAGTGGCTTGCTTCTGTTATACTTTGTTAGGTGGTGAGATCCTCACAAAAACCTGCAGGCATGAAACCATGAATAGATGGCCCTCAGTAACTGTTTTCCTTAAGCAGTCATAGTCACTCACCTTTATTGCCTTTTTCTCCTCCTTACCTACAGGTATACAGCATTATATACAAATTTACAGATATGTATATGTCAAATACATAGCAGTCAGAGAAGGGAACAGGGCAGAGGGGTCATTTTGCTGCCTCACTTATTAATATGTTCCTAATCACATGTACAAATGCACAGTGTTTCAAGTATTGGGGAATGTGGTGAGCCATCACCATCGTGGCCATAGGGATTATCTACAACTGGTTCGGACTTTATGAGGAAGGAGGTACAGTGGGGTCTTGACTTGAGAACTTAATCCATATTGGAAGGCGGTTCTCAAGTCAAAAAGTCTGTAAGTCCTGTTCCAAATGGCTTTTAACTGAAATAACATCAAATGTGGGTCTGATGGCAATTTTTAGAATATATATTTTAGAATATATATTTTGCCTTTTTATTGTATTTTAAATGCTGTAAGCCGCCCAGAGACCTTCGGGTAGTGTGGGCGGCATATAAATAAGTCAAGTCTCCATTGACCTACAGTGCATTGAAAACCGATTAATCCCGTAACAGGCCATTTTTGTTCCATTTTGGTTTTTTTCTGGTCTGTAAGTCAAATCTCAGTCTGCAAGTCAAACCTAAATTTTGCGGCCAGAGAAGTCTGTAACTCAAAAAGTCTGTAAGTCAACCCGTCTGTAAGTCAAGGGTCCACTGTAGCTGGTTCCACCTTCAAGATGTGAGGCAGCAGACAGATGTAAGGTTCCTTACCTGCAGGTGCAGGAAACTGGAAGAGGAGGAGGAAGGAGCTAAGAAGACACAGCAAGGCCAGCTGGAAAGCAGATGTTGGAGTTCAAAATATGAAACACATTCTCTAATTGCAAAAGGAAGGGCAGGTGGTACCTTCATTACACCACTACATTTTAAAGCTAACTTTCAATATACACTACTCTGCTCTTCATTAGGCTGTACACCAAAATATTGTAGATAGTGCAGGAAAAAACCATATGAAAGTCGCAAAAGTCATGGTAGATGCCCATGCCAGATCTGTTCGTTAAAGATGAGTTAGAAAAAACAGGCTGCAAACACAGGAGTGTGAGTTTCAAATTGTACCCCAGTGGCTATTAGTTGGATTCTATCTCTCAAGTAATCAAAGAAAGGACTGCCAGGGCATTCAGTGCATATTGCAAGCCATAAGTGTTGTTTGTTCAATTTAATTAATTGTTCACAGGATTTGGTCTCGAAAATGCTTCATGTTGATCCTCACCAGAGATTGACTGCTGCCCAGGTCCTAAGGCATCCATGGATTGTTCATTGTGACCAGTTGCCTCAATTCCAGCTAAACAGGCAAGATGCTCCACATCTTGTGAAGGTATGTAAACATCTGTTTAGCTTTTCTGGAAACGCAGTTAAGAACACTTACTAGAGTTTGAAAACTAAACATGCTCAAACCCCGTACTCTACCTTGTTCCACAGTATCCTGTTGGTGGCTTTATCTCCACAAGTTTTTTGCCCCTCACTCTGTGATGTTGCAGTTTGTGCTTCTGCTTTTCATTTTGATTTTTATAGACTCACTGTTACCCTTATGGCAGTAGTTTCTTCATAGACTATAAAATGTTTTCATCATTAGAAAAAATAAAGGTGAACATTTTTATTCAGATTACCCTGCGCACAAGAGAATTTGCGGAAGTGGCTGTGTGATAAGGTCTGATGGTTCTGTAACTTCCCTGATGTGTGCAGTAATTTGAATAGGATACAGGCTGGAAATAATAATATTTTATGCTCTCAAGTTCATATAGAATCAACAGAACTATATAAAAAGTTGACCAGATTTATTTTGAGCCAGAAAGGATACAAGCGATAAAGAGACCTAATGGATAATGGAGCATGGTAAAGAACTGATACCTAAGGCAAATAGTGAAGATGTGTTATTGCCTGACCAGCTAATCAGGGATTGGCAGTGGATATCCTAAAGCTCAGGCTTTCATGCTACTGCAAAAGCACTCCTTGCTTTTGTTTTGCCACTTCTGTTACCATTTGTGAGGCCCCCAAAGTGGAGGCCTTAGTGGGAGTGCCGTCGCTCTCAAAGAGAACCCTCTACACACGGACATCCCCACCTCCGTCCCCAACGCGTCGGGAAGAGAAAGGCGTGGAGATCCCAGATTGGGAGCAAGTGGTCGCCAAACCCCTTACCTTAAACAAGCGGGTAGATACGTGAGACCTGGAGGCGACTATGAAAGGGTTAACCCTTTCCCCGGGACCCGGGGAATCTTTGGCGGGAAGAAGGAGGGAGGAGATTGAGGCGGCGGCGGGAGATATAAGAGGGAAGCCGGCAGAGATACCGGAGGGGTTCGGAGTGGATCTGGTTAGAGGATCCTTGGACCCACAAATGGGAGCAGGTCCGGGTCCCCCATGAGGAGGCCGAGAAACGCCGCCAATTGGGGTTAAAGCCTCGCCCATCATACTGGGGTGAGACCGAGGCCAAGGAGTGGAGGAGGAAACTCTGGGAGGAAAGGGAAGCTGCGGCACGAGAACTGGAATGTAAGAAACAATGGCATATAGCCAAGTTGAGGAAGCTGGGGGGTTACCCGGCCCTGGGGAGTCGATGTTGGAGACGGGTCGTCCTGGGGCGAGTGGAGCGGGGACGAAGAGACTATTCCGTTGATCTCGCTGGAGGAAGAATTGAACCCTGGGCAGGAGACTGTGCCGTTATTAACAGGACCTTGGAACCCAGAGACAACCAACCCTTTTGTAAATAGTTTATGGACCCCGTTGAAACCTAGTAACATGTTGCAAGAATCTCTAAACCCCTTTATTGGAGTGAACCATGTTGGAGTTGAGGTTGCAATAAATACAGAACCTTTTGATTTACCTCAACCGACTCGTCCTTTATTTGGAGAACAGACAGCCCCGAAAACTGAACCCTCACACCATTACCACTACAGTGGCGCCTCACTTAATGACGATAATCCGTTCCAGGAAAATCGCCATTAAGCGAAAACATCGTAAAGCAAAATTAAAAACCCCATTGAAATGCATTGAAACCCGTTCAATGTGTTCCAATGGGGTAAAAACTCACCGTCCAGCGAAGATCCTCCATACGGCAGCCATTTTCGCTGCCTGTATAGTGAGGAATCCATCCCTAAGCACAGCGGGAAGCCATTTTAAGCACCTGGCAGCCATTTTAGAAACCTGACGATCAGCTGTTTTTGATAGTTGTAAAGCGAAAATCGGTTCCCGAAGCAGGGAACCGATCATCGCTAAGCGAAATTCTCCCATTTAGACCATCGTTTTGCGATCGCAATCGTTAAGCAGGGTACGACTGTACTTGTAATAAACCCCAAACACAGCATGGCTGACAGCTATGTTTTACTAATAACATTAGTACAGATGTGATTTTAATCAACCCTTGAAATAGAAAGTAGTGGGTGGGTTAAATGCCGATGCAAAAGAAGGCAAGGAGTATAGATGTTTTATGTGACATTTTTATTCAACCATTGGGCTAAATCCAACATTTCACTAGTAGAATTTCTGGAATTTTCTTCCTGTCCCCCATATTTAATCTTCCATTCAGATAACTGAAAATCATGGGGAGTCACTGAAGTCAGTGATGTACTTGGCAGTAAGACATCAGCACAATAGAACTTTGTTCCACTTGCTTCTCCAGTGCAGTTCCCTGTGACATTCAAAAATTCTCCAAAGGGTTTCCCAGCCCCTTTTCTGCTTGTTCTAGAATAGTGTGTGTGTGTGTGTGTGTGTGTGTGTGTGTGTGTGTGTGTGTGTGTGTGTGTGTGTGTGTGTGTGTGTGTGTGTGTGTGTGTGTGTGTGTGTGTGTGTGTGTGTGTGCCCCATACAACTGTTCAGCCAGTGGAAATCCACTGCTGAATTGAGCAGTGTCTACCTGATTGCTGTGGGCCTCAGGAACCAAAATTACACAATAGTAAAGAGCTGTAAAGCAGAGATAGATTTAATAGTCTTGTGCCTGAATTTTCATATTATTAACAATTGTTTGTACAAAATAAAGGAATTGCTACTCACTTAGTGGCTAAACACAGTTGTTCTAATAGTTGGTTCACAATTACTTTTGTTTTTAGGGTGCCATGGCTGCTACATACTCAGCGTTGAACCGCAATCAGTCACCAGTTTTGGAGCCAGTGGGCCGTTCTACCCTTGCTCAGAGAAGAGGTGTCAAAAAAATTACCTCAACTGCCCTTTGAAGAGACCTCAACAGAGGAATTTGGTACCATAATAAGATGATAGCACAACTCATGGCAATGTGGCATATATCCAAGGTACCTGCAAGCACATGGTTCCAGGTGGTACCAGTTATGCTGCTGTTCCTGCTTTCATCTTCCTTTTAAACTGTTGGTGGCAAAACCTTGCCCTTCGGATGGAATATAATGTGGAATCAATATAAAATGAACAGGCTGTTTATGGAGATAAAATAGAATTATGAACATTTCTTTCACATCAGATACACTGAATAAAGCACTCTGCACCATATAGCATTATTTTTATAGGGACTGTTTCTTCTCCCGTTAAAATATTCTGCATTACATGTATGGATGGACAATTTATGTTAAGCACTTAGCTTAAAGATATGTTTTTATTAGCACTGTATAATTTGTGCCATCCAGGATTTTATGTTTTTTGTAAACTTTTCATAACAGTACACTTCTGTGCTGTTTCATTTTATATGCCTCCTACTTAGACTAATTTGACAATTAAATCAGATTAAAATGGTTCATCAGTAAGGTTGGACATCTGAAACAGCTTGACTGTTAAACAGCTATTGAATGTAATTATGTGAATGTGTTTTTCCTTGCCTGTCTCCACACAGATACATTGTTAAATGTTATGGGAAACTAGAGTTGTTATGGCATTTAATGGTGTAATAGGTTTCCCACAATCACATGTGCAATTAGCTCTGAACTGAAGGTAAATAAGTAATGGTATATCTTTGTTTGTTTGAACCTTGGAGCCAAGTAATTTTACTCCAGTTCACCTGTTTTACAAGTGGTCATTTTTTGTCTTTACTGCTATAATTGTAAGTGGCACTTCTTGCACAGTGCTAGACCACAAGAACGTGGAAAATGCAGGGTTTCAAGCTGAAGCAATGTATTGTCAAGTAATGAGCATGCAATGAAAATTTCTAGTTGTCAGGAAATTACTAATACTAAATTTGTTACGCTTCGGCTATTTTCAGAATGCATTTAAAAGTAGGAGGCAAAACATGTTGACTAGAATATCCCCAGTGGAACTCTCTGTGACATTCAAAAATTCTCTGAAAGGTTTCCTAGCCCCTTTAGTGCTTTGTTCTATTCAGTGATTCTGCTATCAGGCGTGGACTCTGTCATTGGCATGGCTGGTCTTCACACTGGCACCCTTGCTATTTATAATGTACAGTGAAGATCTAGGCTTCCAGTTCCAATCACACATACTAAAACAGCGTTCAGTCCTGCTGAACACAAGAACTTACTTCTGAACGTTGCTACCATCTTCTTGTGAAAGTGGAGGCAGTTTTGTACATCCAAGTCATTGTCATTTTGAATAATGTTGGAACGTTTAGTCTATGAAAAATACTAAAGTTATAGTAATGAAAAGTACATTGTCCTGAAATATGATATAATTTTGGTAGATCATCCCAGAGTTTTGCCAAAGAAATAGCTCTTTGTGTAAGATTTCTCCCTTGTCTTGTATTTTGCTATTGAATTCATTTCAGTTTAATGTTTTAAATGTTTTTAAAAAGATGAATGCAAAGAGGTAATTGGTAGCTTTTCTGATCTTCTAGGACACTCATTTTTCCTTTGAATCTCATCATCATCTTAGTCTTCCTCTTAGCTCAAGTGTATTCGTACATCATATAATTCCAGTTTCATTGTGCCAGCTTATCACAGTGTTTAGTTATACTTGTTATGTTTTTCCTTCTTTTAACATCAATGTAGTTTACAATTATCCTTTGCTGGCATTTCCCTCAGAAGCTGCTAACTTATCCACCAGGGGCCTTTAACTATTCTCTCTTACTGGTTAATTGGTTAGTTTTGTTTTGTTTTCAAATTCAGTTTTGTTCTGTTACGCTTGAAAAATCTTTTGAAATTATTTTCCATATATTACTTTAAATCGTCATTGTGGTAACAAAATCTAAAATTGCTGATCTCAATCCAAGGACAACTCTTACTCAAAAGAATGGTTTGTCTGGCCACTATGTACTGACATTATAGTACTTGATGGTCTGTGTAGTTAACACCTTATTCTTTGTTCCATGTTCTGGAGTGTTCTTTGCAAAGAATGAACCATCTATGTTTCCATAGTTAGGTTTAGTGAGTTTGCAGTATAAAATACTTGCCCAACACATTTTTTCTTCCTCATGATAGAAATTTTCAATAGATTTCTATTTTTACCTCTGTGATCCTTGATCTGTTTCATCTCTAATTACAAGAGTCATCAACTACTACTTCATCAGCACTGAAGCACCTGTGATATGAGGCAGAGTTACATAAACATTCTGTTGTGTTTCTGGATTGCAAAGAGGGAAGTAAAATGCTGAGCTTTCTTTGTTTTCAGATATTCTTGCTATGTTTTCCACAGTAGAAAATTTAAATCAACCCAAAGGAGATTAAATCAACTCAAAGGAGACAAAACACATCACTTTCTATGAGGTTAGGCTTAATTGCATGTTGTCACTAATTATAGATGGAACATGCCTAGCATATTTTTGGCAAGGGTGATGGAATGCATTTAGCTATAGGCAAAGGGACATTTTGTAAATTATATAAAATTAACTGGAGAGCAAAGTAAGGGAAGCCATAGGACGATGTCCTTTTCTTAATGAAAGGCAAGAAAGATAATCTGAACTGTGTAACGTCTTATAGCTTGAGAAAATAAGTGATTCGTTCATTGCTATCTCCCCTTCTTTGGTCTCAGATTTTTATAACACATTTCAAAATAATATCCTGCAAGACAGTTGTGATGTGCAAAGGAAGCCCTCTTTTAGGAATTGCTGCTTACTAGAGACAATTTTATCAGATACTTGTGATACCTTTCACACTTGTGCTGTTCTATCAGTAATTATAATTCTGCTTCTTTTGACAGATGGTTCTCTTTTTGCTTATGCCTTCTTTGAAGAAAGAAATATGACTTGGTTTAAATCACTCCTTAAGAAGGTTAACTTTATCAAGTGACTTGAACACATGAATCCATTTTCACATTTGTTACTAAGGCTGCAACCTGAAATGCATGTACTTGGGAGCAGGTCCCTATGAACACAAATGTCTTACTTCTGATTTTAAACATGTATTGTAAGTCTTAGAGTTCCTTTTGAAGTAAGTAGTTCCATGTCATCCTAGAAAAATAATGTGAATGTTTTCAGGTTGTCATTCCTATTATTTCTCTCTAATTACATCTTATACCTTTTTTTTTCTTACACTGATGTGAGGACTCCTTTGTCTACCCAAACTACTTTTAGTCAGTATTCTGTAGCAATAATCAGGACTTGCTTTGAACAAGATATGGCCCAACGTCAGAATGTATGTCTATGGCTGGCCTTGTTGTGCTGTGCAATGATGTATTAATTTGGAATGAGACATGTTTTCATTTTATTTCAAAGATAAATTCACTGCATAAGATTTTTATAAGTACAAATCACTTCCAAATCACGGTATTGCCTCAGTCTGGGACTTCAATTTCTGATCTCGTCAGTGATTAGGAAGCCTTGTTCTCACTTTCAAGAAAACAATCTCATAACTAAGTAAAACATATTTAAAGAGTCCACCAGTTCATTTATCCATGTATGTGTTCATAACAGTCTAGGCAGAAGTAATCTGTAATACTGGGCAATGGTTACACTCCTCTTAAAATAATTAAAAACTACTTAATTGTTCCAAATTCCTTGAAGAAGGTTCCTTAAACATTTATAACTGAAATATTATATGAGGAACTGTTATAAATGATTGTGCAGAAAAGAAGCATGAAGTTGTGATGTCTGAGAGGAACAACCAGCCAGACTACTTCGTCTCTGTTGCTTTTCTTCTTCTGTACTCAGAAAAACCAAAATTTTCAAGACCAAAAAAATCCATATATTAAATAGGAATGGTTTCTGAAACAAGTTAGCTTCAAAACAGATACCATGTTAATGGTGGTAACATGCTATCAAGTCACCTCCAATTTATGGCGACACTGTGAATAAGCAGTCTCGAAAATGCCGTGTCCTCGGAGCCCTGCTCAGCTCTTGCAAACTCAAGCCTGTGGCTTCCTTAGTCAGCCTATTTCATACCTGTCTTCCTTTTTTCCTGCTGCCTTCAACCTTTCCCAGCATTGTTGTCTTTTCCAAAGAATCCTGTTTTCTCATGATATGCCTGAAGTAGGACAGCCTTAGTTTCAACATTTTTGTATCCAGAGATAGTTCAGGCTTTATTTGATCTAGGACCCTTTTGTTCTTCATTCTAGCTATTCAGGGTATCTGTAGAGCTCTCCTCCAGCACCATGTTTCAAACAACTTTTTTCATGTCAGCTTTCTTCACTTTCCAGTTTTCACATTCGTAAATGGTGATTGGGAATACAAGAGTGTGAATGGTCTTGGTCTCCAATGACACATCCTTACACCTACCTGATTATCTTAATCCCATCATTGATGCCCTTCTGAGTCTCAGTTGACTTCTGATTTCTAGGCTGCAGTCTCCCTTTGGATTGATGATTTTCTACTCTGGAAATGAATGGCTTTAATACTGAGGCATGATGAAGTATAGGCCGTCAGGGGTATAATGCAAGGTCTGTCCAAATAATATCAACCAGATTCCATAGATGATGTGTCAACATAACCATCATTCAAGTCTGCTCCAATTACCAATGCTGAAGATGAAATTGAAAGCTTTTATGCAAACATCCAAGAGGAAACTAATACCACACCAAAGTAAGACGTGCTTATAATAGGTGAACACAAAAGCAGGGAACAAAGCAGAATCATGCTTATAATAGGTGACTCGAACACAAAAGCAGGGAACAAAGCAGAATCAAATGCTGCCAGAAAATTTGGCCTAGGCGACAGACATGAAACAGCAGAGTGCTTTATAGAATTCTGTGACACCAAAAACCAAACAGACAGCTGCACATGTGGACATTGTCAGATGGTCAACACAGAAATCAAATAGACTATCTAATTGGAATCAGGAGATGGAAAAACTGTATTCTACCAAAACAAGTCCAGGAGTGAATTGTGGTACTGACCATGAACTATTAATATCCAACGTTAGAGTGAAGCTGAAAAAACAAATAATTGTACTGTCAAAATATAATTTAAACAACATTCCTGATGAATTTAAAGTCCACATTAGGAATAGATTTGCATTTCTAAACTCAGTTGACAATGAACTGGAAAAACTGGATTTAAACCGGAGGCATTATTAGGGAAGAATGCAAAAATACAATTTTTGTAGTAAAAATAAAATAAAAATCTAGGTGGATGGTGGAAGAAACACTTAAAATCATAAAGGACAGGTGAGAAGCAAAAGTAAAAAGTGACAGAAATAAGATCAGAACTTTGAATGCAGTTTTTCAGCAACAGTCATAGAGACAAACTACTATGACAATGGAGAACAAGATCTCTCTTCCAGAATATCCATGAAATCAAAGGGAAATTTAAGCCTAGATTAGAAATGCTGAATGACAAACAAGGAAACACATTTATCGGATATCATTGGGAATGATTAAAAACAATTCTTGTGTGTTTTAGTTCTGTTGGCCTATTTACTATGGACAGATCTTGATTTCAGTTCTTTCTTTGGTCTTTGCTTTCCCTTAGTCAACTAGATCATGCAACCTGTATATTCATCAGTGTATTAAGGGAACAAAGCATGCCTGCTTAGGTTGTTCTTGGCTTTTTAAAACCACAAGACACAAATGATTACTTTGAATTTTCAGGATCTTGGGGCACTCTTGTGTAACATTTTAAAGTGTTCCCTTATTCCTCATTATGAATATTGAGATTATATTACCGTCTGGCACATTTGGCTAGAACTTCATCAGCCTGTCTTATCTCTGCTAGTATGAAGAAAAGGCTCAAGGTCAAATAAATAATAAATAACCCACGACAGGATGAGATTTCTCAAATTAGTGCAGTAATGACCAGTATGGGAAGAAGCTACAGCTCGTTTGTGATGTATAAAATATTCT